TTGCAATTTGAGAGCGAATTTTACACCAAACATGAAAATTACATGCACAATTTTTGAAGATATAAGATTCATGCTCATCTTCAGGTTCCAGCACCGTGAACATGCGTTCGTCAAACGAAAGCGTATTAATGTTCGACGACCTTACACGCAAGTTGCCCACTCTTTTGGATTGCATCTATCGTTTAATTAGAATCGTTCATCAAGTAACGAAAGTTCATTCGGGTCGATCTGTTCCGACCAAATTAGTGTCCTTTAACTTTGCATGTTGAGACAAGCTCCACCCTCCATCTTGCATGTTCGGCGCCGATCACAACGCAACACGAGAGTCTAGGATTTTTACGTCGAGTGAAATCCGTGGTCCGAAAACCCTACGGAATCGATAATGTCGGATTGATCGATCGATAATTGATAAAGTCTGAACAATTCTAATGACATTGCGTGCTAAGAACGAATTATGCTGTCAAATTGAGGTTTCCAAAATGGGAAATCGATGTGTTTTTCAGCCTCCTCTTTGACCCGTGATGCATCAATTACTTGTATTTGCTGACCGTAATTTGTGCTGTATCGTTTGCCTGGTCATAGAACGACGCGACGATTTATCATGAAGCTTAAAGATGTGTATCGATCCTTGCAAAGGCGGATCCGGGGGGGGGGGGGGAGGAGGTCGTCAAAGGTTACTCAATGCCGCAGCAATAAATAGGCCATATATCAAAATATTTCTAGGTATTATTCATCAATTTTCAACTTTCAAATAAGGTACAAATTGTATATGCTAAAACTGATGAAAATTCAATCTGGGAGGGGATACTTTTTTGCAAAATTTTTGCAAAACCCCTCGGACCTGACATTGCTCTGGAGGGTATAACCCCCCCCCCCCCCCCCCCCCNTATAAATTTATAATCGCTTGTTAATTTTCTTAGTATGAGAAGAAAAATGAGCAATTTGATACAAAAAAGAAATTATTTTAACTACTTTAGGTCTTCTTTGAAGTAAGTTTTTGTCATTGTTCCCATCATGTCCATGTATTTTTTCATAAAGGTTTTCCTGGCCAATGGATTTCAGCCGCGAATTCCCGAGAAATTTCCCGCTTAAAGATCCCTAGTCAAGACTTCTTTAACCTCCTTAGCAACACTTCAGCCCTCGTGCTTGACCCAGAGTCCGTGCAAACTTCAGCATTCATAAAATCAAACCGTTTAATTCGTACAGAAAAAACGATAGAAAAAATAGAAGAAAAAAATAAAAGAATAGAAATATAAAGAATAGAAGAGACCCGCCCGTTTCTTTCGAAACATTTTTCCTCTTTTCCCAGGAAGTTTTTGCGATATTATATCCACATAAGACAATAAAGCGCGCACCTGAGAATGACGGTATGACTTCACTATGGATAATAGAAAGAAAAAAAACTTTTTCTGGGAATCATAGCCGGGAGAAAGCAAGTGTACATATTTGATTTTCCCATTTCATCTGGAGCGCGGAGCCAAGACAGAGCGCAGCAATTATGACGACTCGTCGTGACTTGACAAAAACGATTTTCTTATTTTTTAAACCGTCTCCCTCGACAGCGATTCATATACGCGATGTTTGAAAACCACACGATTCTTTCGTCGAGCTTACCGCAGCAATTTCAAACATTCTCTTGGTATTTGGGAAAGTTTTTGCCGCGAAAACTAACGCGTTCACCGGGGTTCTATGGTGTAATGGTTAGCACTCTGGACTCTGAATCCAGCGATCCGAGTTCGAGTCTCGGTAGAACCTGCTGATATTTTAAAAATCCTGACAAAGCTATCCCGGACATCTGCAATATTTAGGCAATGCGAAAATACTCTCAAAGGATGGTTAGAGAGCGTATTTTGGCATGGCAGTAACATTTTGAAAGTATACTTTCACATTTCGAAAACCATATAATTACAAGAATATTTTTAACCAGCGATCGAAACTCACAGGCGCCAACGCGCAAAATGCGCCTGAGAAATCGGTCATGGCGCCTGAAAAATAAAGGTTCTGTGCCAGCGTGGCCCCTAAAAATTGCCCCCCTCCCCCCAAAAAATCCTAATTTTTCTGTTTTTTTGATTTTTTGAAATTCCCCCAAGTTACAGCCCTAAAACATCTTGCGTCTCACTTTTCACTAAATGCGCCGTGAAATATAGGCAAAAAGTCAGTTTGGCTCCTAAAAATCGAGCTTGATGCGCCACATGGCTCCTGGGACTCAAAGATGAGTTTCGAACACTGTTTTTAACGTATTTTTACACATTTTCCGTCTATACCTATTTCAAAGATATTTTAAAAGTGCGTGTAGGTGAATATTAAAAGATAAATTAAGGGGCTTGGAAGAAAAGGCGCATAAGTGCAGTTTTTAAAAAAATCAAGATATTAATGATTCCAAGTAAAACTAGTCTGAACGCATATTTTGTGAAAAATTCGCTCTCAGATTCCAATTTTTAAGCATCGAAAATTCCTTTAGAACTTTCTTTCCGCCATAAGGATCCATGCAATTCCGAAAATTCCAACACGTTCACACACACGGACAGTCCACACGTCCTTCTCGAAATAGCAAAAACTGCACTTATGTGCCTTGTCCCCCTAGCCCCTTAATTACTCTATAATTTAATTAATGGATGTGTTGTTGAATTAACCTAATGGCAACTTTGCAATACTTTATATATTTTATTAAATCATTCCAGAAATAAGGCCGGTTTCACGGAGCCTGCATTACAGTGCATTTTTAATTCCTCTCCATTTTTAAACATTGAGTATTAAAAAAAAAAAAAAAAAAAAAAAAAAAAAAAAAAAAAACCCCCCCCCCCCGTTTTCATGCAAATTATTTTTTTTGGTTCATACGTTTCACGTAATGTCATGTTCATTCACGTTTTAGCAGCTTCAGGGCTCTTAAATTATACCGACGGAATATTTTTGTCTTGAAACGTGCCTCCCCTTACCCGGGTTCTATGGTGTAATGGTTAGCACTCTGGACTCTGAATCCAGCGATCCGAGTTCGAGTCTCGGTAGAACCTACTAAAATTTTATTACCTTTTTATTTATTTTGGTATTAACTACAATTACAAGGGGCTTCTTTATGCATTTTTTTCATTTTTTTTATCAGTATAATTATTTATTGTTTAGTTCTGAAAAGGTCTTTCTTAGCTCATGTCTTAACTCTTAAGCTCATCTTTTCTCATAATGATTCTCTCTCTACTTAAAGCTTCTTGCTTTCACCTTTGTCCCTTGTTTGACTGTCTAAATTCGAAGGTTCAAAATCAACATGTCTTTGCAATAACAAGATACATGTTAATTAGTTATAAAAGAGGCCACAAAGAAAACGAAAAGCACCAAGCTAGTTGGACTCCATACTTTTCAAAAGCATTCAAATTATTTTTAAAATACTTTCAAAACAATTTTATTTCTTAATTTTGTTTGAAAAAATAATAAAAGGTACAAACACGCTGCTTCTACAGCGCACTTTTGCGCTCTGCGACACCCAAACGCCACATGCACCGTGCCTTTCTTCCAAAAAATTATCGGGCAACTGAGAATGTGATATATCTTTGTATCTTCGTATTAAAAAAAAATATTTTAAAAATATTCAAGAATATGTTTCAAAAATGATATTTATATTGATACTCATACAATTTTTTTGAGAGATTGTCTATAAAGAGGTTTTACTTTCACCATAATTCTATGAGTTTTTCAGGTTCTCAGAAAATGGGTAAAAAAGGTAATTTTTCTCGAAGGCATTAGCAAAAATTAATTTCATTAAAATTTTCCATCGTTAGTTATACACACATACGCCACTTTCACAACGCGCTCTGGCGCTCTGCGATGCCTAACCGCCACAGTCCCCATCCTCCATAGGCCCATTTTGGTACTGGCACTTCCTTAAATCGTATACTGCATTCTGTCGCAACCCTCTCCATGGGCGTCCCTTTCGTCTCTCCCAGGAGGAGCCCAATCAATCATTTTTTTGGCGCGTTTCCTCCCCATTATCCTACGGCTATGACCATAAATGTGCTTCTTAGCGCATTGAAAAGGGCGCAGCTCAAACACTCTGCAAATGAATGGCAAAACCTCTCCCAAAGATTTCTTTCAAAATTGATATTTTAAGGGTATGTCACTTTTTTGTGTTTAACTTGCTTTGATATTTTTAACAACCATTGAATTATTTCCTACATACCCCCGCACGGAAGGGAACTAGATATTGAGGATTAGCTATTGGAGTATTTGCACGTAAAAAAATCATTTCTTCATTTGAAAGTGTTTAATGAGCTGAGTTCGCAGTATTTTTTATACTTTTTACTGATATGAAAAATTGTAGAAAAATAGATTTTTAAGTGACAAAGTGTGCCTTCTTGTGACATCATCTGGCGGCATTTCCCATTTTTAAACACATGCATTTTGGCAAATTCGATTAGTTTGCCATGTTTCCTCCCATAATTGTTCAATGTAGAATCCAAGGATAGTAGTTTCATCCTAAACATGATATTCATCAAATTTTAGACTGCTGCGAATTGTCCATCGTTCAAATGCGGCCAAATTACCTAGGAAAAACGACCGATCAACTGCTAATCCCTACTGCTTAACCACGATACTCGAATATCCGCGATTTACGATTATCCTAGTAGTTTCACCCTACACATGAAATTCATCAAATTTCAGACTGCTGCGAATTGTCCATCGTTAGAATGCGGCCAAATTACCTAGGAAAAACTACCGATCAAATGCCGATTCCTACTGCTTAACCACGATACTCGATTATCCGCGATTTTCGATACATGCGATTTTTGATAAACGCGATTTTCGATATACGCGACTTTCGAATATCCGCGTTTTTTCGATATACGCGATTTTCGATTTACGCGATTTTTGATAAACGCGATTTTGGATTATCCACGAATTTCGATTATCCGCGAATTTCGACCATCCAGAATTTTCGACTATTCACGAAACCTCCGGTCTGAACCATCGCGGATAATCGAAACTCTTCTGTAAATCATGAGAAGGCCTACCTGTTCATCTTGGCGAGGAAGCCGTACGGCCCGTTGAGCTTGGCCGTCTTGTCCAGGTTCCGGCAGTAGAGGGTCCAGATACAGTCGAGCGTGTTGACGCCGTTGCTCCTGGCGACCCCGCGCGTCGAGCTCCGGTAGGCCTTCCCCAGGTTCAGCACCGCCCTCAGGCCCCCGTTGACGAACTCCATCAGCTCGTGGAGCGCACCGTGCTTGGACTCGTCCTCCTGCTCGGTGAAGAACCTCGAGTTGGGATTCTTCATCTGGAGGATCTTCTCCGGCGGCAGGAACAGGGCGTTGAGCGCCATTATATCCGGGTCCTTCAGCATCTCCACCCGGATGTCGTTCTCCTCGTTCCACGCGATCTGCTGGACGTTGTGCAGGAGGAAGAGGTCGATAGCCAGGAGCCCGAAGGATATCAAGTTCGAGTTATTCGCGATCCCTGCCGGGTTCTTAGGGTAGATGAGGGATGAAAGCGGTACTTCTTGAACGTCGGAGGAGGAGTTGTAGTACATCTCTTTGAATTTATTGAACAGCATCGAAGTGTTTTTGTTGTAGAGGGATTGGTTGACGGCGGTGAGGAGGTCGCTCCAGTCCGGGGAGGTCGCGCCGGAGTTCTTGGTGAACCACTCGTTGAGGTCCTTCAGTCGCTTCTTCAGGAACGCGACTAGGGGTGATTCGGCGTCCTCAGGGGCGACGCCGTCGTAGTTAGGGCCGTGGAACTCCTGGTCCTTCTGGTAGTAATAAGGGTAGTCTTCAGAGACGGCCCCTGGGATATCCGCCTCCGCGTACTTGTTCTCCTTCATGTACGTGAAGGCGGGGATCGTCTTGAGCTTGAACTTGCCGTCCCGCTGGTCGGCCGGTTTGAGGTTATCACGGCGGGACTCCATCTCGGTCATCTGCGACTCGTAGACCTCGTCGAACTTGTAGTTGTGTTTCGGGGCGACCGGGGTGTCGGGCTTGTAGAGGGAATCGACCTCGTGGACCTTCTCCTCCTCGATCCACTCGTGGGCGGGGTAGATGGCCTCGGACTTCTTGGCGACGGGCTGGTGGTCGGTCTTCCCGCCGGTGGGGTAGATGTCCTCCATGGGGTCGGGACCCTCGGCGAGCTCCTCCGACTCCGTGGAATCGACGACGTGCTTCCGGACGTTCGGGACGATGGGCTTGAAGCCCTGCTCGTAGGTCGGGAAGCGCGGGGCCTCGGTCGATGTCGAGACCGTCTCGCCGTTCATGAAATCGACCACCTTCTCTATCTTGGCTTTCTTGTTCGTCGGCGGGAAGCTGGGCGGCCGCCGCTCTTCCGCAGGGTCCTTCGGGAACTCCGCCGGGCCGGGGACGACCGGAGGAGGCGCCGGCCTGGACAGAACATCGAATTTGGAGTTGAAAGAGTTGAAATTATCGCCCGAGTTGAGGATCCTGTCGGTGATGATGGACTCGGTGTTCTGCTGCCGCGCGCCCAGCCATAGGGTAACACCGATGAAGGCCCCCGTGACGACGACCCCGCAGAACCCGGCCGTCACCCACCATTTGGTCTGCTGCGTCGCGCTCTCGATCCTCTTGTCCTTCACCTCGTAAAACATCGTCGCAACCTTGACCTAACACCTTTAAACAGTACGAAATCCGAAAAACACTCACACTGAAAATCCGACCATCGCAAAATCACTCGCAAAGCATATGTATATATATCACGTCTATATATGTATATCACGTCTATATATATATAAATCTCGAGATCGCGGGCGTTCGTGGCGGAAACCGAGCGGTCCCTGTGACGCGTTCACGGATGCGGTGAGACTGAGTCGGCGCGGCTGAGCGGCCGTGGCTCCCAGCCCAGCGCCGCGCGTACCCCCTCTACGGCGGCGTCGAGTGGCGCGGCGCGCGCGGCAGGCGGGTTGATTGAGGATTCCCGCAGAGTGGTGTTAGTCCGTTAGTGCTCCTAGGTCATTGTCACACTCACTCCGCCCGACGTCCGTCGCCGCGTGCGTATTCCGCTGCGCTACGGAAAAACGCCGTATGAACCTTGAGGCGTTGCCAAATTTCCTTCGATAAAATACGAATGTATCGGGAAAGTTGTCGATATTTTTCGTCGAAATTTTCGGAGGATTTTGCTTGCGACTCAATCTCAAAACTCTGAAAATTTCAAGGGGAAAGTACTTATAGCCTCCTTCAAAATTACAATTTTCATTGGGGGAGATTGGGCAGCGATCGAATGTTCATGCGGAGTTTTTCCTGAGCGCGGCAGTATTCAAGTGCACGGTTTTCATTGTTTACTTTCTACCGCCAATCATTCCCGACGTATTGGTCCCGCGTGTATGGATCCGTAAGTTCCGTTTACACGCGGGTAATGCGATTTCCGCGGGCGTGTTGCGTTGGGCTGTGAATGAAAGCACCTCGGCGTGTGTTTTCTCCTGATGATTTCACGAGGAGAACGATGTAATGATGGGAATATTTCAATTCAATTCCTTCTTGAAATTATTGCGATATCCGTGGACATTTGATATATCGACGGTGAAACTACCAAACCACGTATCTCGTTTACGGTGTTTAAAAATCTACGCTCGCATTTTATTTTTTTGAAGTCGACCAAATCAATATCATTCTTTGAAATTTTCACAGAATTTTCTCCGCACATAGAGGAAAAATCACAGAAATTTTCAAGACTAGACGTTAAGTAGTTTTTCATTTAAAAAATAAAGTATGACAGGAAGTCTGCGACGTCGCAAACCGAGATACGTGGTTTGGTAGTTTCACCGTCGATATGTAAAACGCCATGTGAAAGGTGTCCAGCTGTGGTTGGTTTTTTCTTCTTTTCCCTCTTCTTATTTTTTTGTCTCAATCGTCATTTGCTTCTCCTACATCCTCCTTCAGAAAATGTTATACAGGAGTTTAAACCATTACACAAGTCGTTAAATTGGTAAAATTTAAGAAACTAACAAAAAATTTAAAAAACTTTTAAAAACAAAATTAAAAGCACTCACTTGCATAAAATAGTAATTTTGAAGCGGACGCGTTTCGAGAGGTGTCCCGACCTCCGAAATACGTCCCCTTCAAAATTACAATTTTATGCAAGTGAGTGCTTTTAAGTTTGTTTTTAGGAGTTTTTTAAAAAATTTTAAATTTTATCAACATAAGTATGGACTTTCGGAAAAGGAACGCCATGGAATAGAATTGGAAGAGGTGCTGATGTGATAAAATTAAATGGCTCAAGCGTGCGAGGTCATTAGAACAAAACGGCACACCGTCCGTCCGTTTCACGGGTCTAATTTTGAACGAAAATTCCGCTCCTTCCACTAAAAGACGTTGCTTTTGCATACATGATAATCGTTAGAGAATGATTGCTCGACAAAAAGTAAAAATACATTTGGAACCTTTTGCGAGAGAAGAGACTTGAGAACAGGTACAAATTGTACTCAAGAGCCATATTTGTCAAGTTGGATTTAAAATTCAAAATTTCAGTATTTCACAGAAAATTTACCTCGGGGTATTAGTTGCGAGTGGCATAGTGGCGATTCTTAAAAGGTGGGGACACTATTTTTCCTTCATTTAAATGTATGTAAAACAATCGATTTTCGGTGAGGCACCTGACCGCACATAAAATCGACATTTTCAAAATTTCCGCCGCGATTTTATTTTTTTACAGAGAAACTATTGGCTGAATCTGTTTTAAAATTTTACTGAATTTTATCGGCAGTACAAAGAAAAGTTAGTGAAATTTTTGGACAGCTCCGTTGAAAAGTTTCCCTGTAAAATAATAAAATGGCGGAAATTTTAAAACGTCGCACGGCGCTTGTGATACTTTGGCCGCGAGGTGACGATATCATGCTCACATACCTAATTTTTTGCGATTTCAAGGACCGGCAACGCTGTAACACATTTAAGGGTGGTTTCACGATAACTGGAATACTTTTGTCGCCGTAATAGACAACACGATTTTCGGTCATATTTTTAGTAGTAATGATAATCACTCGAATCTATTTGCATTAATCTACACAGGGTTACGTGTTAAAACGCTTTTCGAAGATTTATCGCTCTACTTTTCAATTTTAATATATAAATTGCCGAAAATGTGCTGTCTGTTACGCTGACCTTTTATCGCGTAACAGACAGCACATATTCGGAATTTACATAATATTAACTGAGAAGCAGAGCAATATATTATTAGAAAGCGTTATAATACGTAACCTTTTGAAGATTAATGCGAAAAAATTCGAGTGATTATCAGTAGTACTAAAAGTAAGACCGAAAAATGTTGTGGGTTACGGCGACAAAACTATTCCAGTTATCGTGAAACCACCCTTAAATACTGCAATTCTCGAAAAACTGACAATATCGCGATAAAGAACAGTAATAGTTTACTACATCGGCACATTAAGCAACGTTGGAATTAACTCAAGTTCAAGAGAAGCAGTCACAGCTTCGGTTAGTGTCGCATTCTACGAATTTCATTATGACGCCTGCTGGATGCAACTATTCGAGCTCCATGATGTGCATGTTGCATACGCACGAGAGTGAAGGCGTTTTGACTTCGCGGCGCTCAGTGAGCGAGTCGATGAGAGGCGTCGGACAAAATGAAGGAATATTAAATTTTATATCGATGTTAACACGGAAAGTAGAGATTTTAGAAGTGGTTTAAACATAGTTTTTCTTGCAGAATTTCCTTTCAGAAGCGCCTTGTGCAATCTTTATTGTGAAGAGATCAACATGAAGATTCACAATGTTTTAGTCAAAAATGTCATGTCCGACCTTTCTGAAAGGCTTGTTTCATTATGCAGCAGGCTTAACTGCAAATCTAAACAGAAAAAGTGCCTTGAATTCTTTACAGGCATTAATAGTTGCATATACATACAGGCATAGGATGTGAGTATCTGTTGTGCTTTAGTTTTGAAATTTCGATAAGCTGAGCATGATTTGTAGAGCAAATCCATACCTTGATGTCCTGGAAGTATAATTGAGGCGAATTGAAGGCACACTGTCATTTTAAATCCTAGCAGTAAAATCTGCCATGCTCAGCAGATTGCGCTATCAAAACTGAAACACGAAAGATACTCATATCCTACAATTAGACCAACTCTTGTTTTCCTTATCTAACAGTAAACACTTAGGCTACGAGCTAGGTTTCAAGAAAAATTCATACCATCTTGTTATGAATCCTTCGGGAATGTGTACAGATCTACAACATGAAACATTAAGGCATGAAACTGGCCATTTCTTTGGCATGATCATCATATGAAAATCAAACTTTGCCCTGCCTGTAATAGACACCTCTCAGTAGATTAGACTCAAGATTTAGAATTTTACTGAGACCTTCCGATGCCTCTTTCTAAGCAAGAGGAATTCCATCTCTCAGCTGTTGAATCTCTCTTCAAGGTGACTCGGAATATGAATGATCTGGTGAGACGCTGACATTAAAGGAGATTTAGAGTTGGTAGACCACAACATGACAAGTGAATCCCTGGGGATAAATTAGCAATAAATTAATAAACGAACCAAAACGGAAGGTGTGGAAGCCTCAATAATTTCGAACATTATAGGGATGAAGATAATTTCGAGGATGAAGTAATGAAGTATTAGTGAGAACTTACAGTAGCATTGAAAGCACACCTTGAGGCCTCGGAGACTGAACGCGGGATCACCGAATTGAACATTCCTTCGAGGAATGTGGTTGAAATAGGCAAGTACAAACTACTTCGCACTAATATATTAAATCAAGAACCTTAAGCAACTTTAAATATCCAAAAGATATGTCCACAACACTCACAAGGAGACGAAGAACCACGTTTCCACGGCCTATACATCTTACAGGCTAGAATACTGAATTTGGCAACACCGCGAGCCACTCCGCGTAGAAGGCCGGTGTACGGTGGAGATTCTGTTGTTGATCGCCTTATCAAAATTTCAAATAGTTATGAGTTGATAACGAGTAGCTCACCTGCAAGAAACAAATAAATGGAATTATTAGTGATGAGAATTGTGTAAAACCTGTTTGACACCTTTTTGAGGGGGGCCTAAGCAAATAATATACCTTAGTTTCCCTTAGTTTATCAGCATTGGGTTGGGGGACAAGAGCGAGTGTCATTTAATTTTCAAGTATTTTCTGCATGTAACTCTTGCTTTAAAGTAACTTTCATTAAATACTACCGTAAGTAGATGAATTATTCTGAGAATACTCTTCATGCACATGCTGATTGATTTATGAATAAGAGCGGTGCAATTCTTCCGCTCTGTTCATCATTACCCTAAACGTGGGTATGCATAAAGTAGCAAGTCTGGAACTAACTTTTGATAACCATCCACATAGGTTGTAAACATGCCTGTAATTTGACGATGAAATTTAGGGATGCAGAGTAGAGTTAAGTGTCTGTACCTGAAATTGTAGCTGCCCATTCTCCGTTGTTGAGGAGTGCAGCTGGTTAGCGGGTTGCTAGTGTACCCAAAGCAATTAGCAAAGAAGCAATTAGAAGCGTACGTATTTACTTTACTCATTGAGTGTAGAAATGTGAATGATAAATGTAAGTTACTCACAAAGTTATGGACAACTATTTACAAATCTACGAGGCAAACTGAAATTCTGTGTGCTTTGTGGAAAAGAGCAATTGCATGAGATAGAATATAAGAAACTTTAAATTGATTTTCTCTTTGGTGTTTGTTGAATTAAAGCTGCATCTAAAGTTAAAACTAAAATATTTAAAAAAGGGATGAGCAATGAAATCGAAAAATTGAAACTGAGAATTTAGTTACTTATGTTATGTCAAGTATCAAAGCAAAGGGACACTGAA